ATACACATACACACACCACGCCCACATTTACACACTTACACTTATACTTGCACGCACACGCGCACCAGAGGAGGCTGAGCGCGGCACAATCCTCACTTGGCCCAGATGCAGAGGTATGAGGAGGGGCGAGGACAGTCGTAGAACTTGAGTAAAGAGACAGAGTGCTGAGCAAACAGCCGGCACCTGCTCGCCCCCCCAACCCCGCTCTCCTGCTCGGCCCCCGTCTCCTGCTTGGCCTCTGTCTGCTCTCCTGCCTGCCCCCTGCTTGTGCGCTCGCCCTTTGGCCTCTTACTCGCCCCTGCTATTCTGCTCGCTTCCTGTCCTCCGCTCGCCCGTTGTTCTCCTACTCGTCCTCTTGAAATGAGTCGATCGCCAAGCGAGAGTCGTCAGATGAGCACTCGAGGGCTCGGAGTCACGTGTTCATAACATTATCAAGCCGACCATGGCATCGAAGCCACTGTGACAGAAGCACCAGGGCTGACGGGGAAGCGTCAGTCACGAGGGCGAAGGTGGACCGAGAGAGCATGAGGCTCCATTGCCTTGAAGCTTACCGACAGCTCCTGCGTTGTTTCTGCAGTGACATTGAGGTTGTATAAAGTAAAGAGGAAACTTTTCGTTCTAAGAGCAGAAGGCCATAAAAATTTCCGTTTATTTTCGTGAGCCGAAGCAGGTTGCACGTAACGTCGATGTTGCAGTCCCTGTTCTCAGTGTGACATATCTTAGTCCCGACCCGTTTTTTTCCCTTGACGGCCCATGTCTTTGTCCTAAGACTGCTTCTTATCTCTTGCTCAGAATCAAGTTTCATTTCTTGTAAAACTCTTCCAAAGATGGAAAGCGCAGTTGGAAACGGACGCCTTCTATCGGCCTTGATGGAAATATGCAGTCGGAGAACCGGATAGAAAAAGAGAGGAATCTTTAATCGTCTTAGACAGAAGGAAACACTTTTCCGTCTCTACGCCTCTCCACCCGCTCCTCTGCCCCCCCCCTTCCCGGACGCCCTCTGATACTCTGGAGAGCTCGGGAGGGCCGCGGGCATATTGATTAAGCTTCCATATCGAGACATGGTTCATTACACACACGCACATGCAAGCGGACACGAGCATAGAACACTTATCTGTGTGTGCGCTTACAGGTAAAGATGCTTACTTATACAGTATACTTATCTATGTAAGTAAATACTTACCTACGATACATACGTAAATTCATCCGTACGTCTATCCATCTATCCATCCAGCTATCTAAATCTATATCTTTTCCTTTTCACTATCCATCCATCCATCCTCCCATCCATCCGTATATCTACACAGAGGAAGTATATGGACCTCGTGGCGACAGCCGGCCTGCCTTCCAAATTGAAGTTTCAGTGTTATTTTACAAACTTTATTTCTTCTTTTTCGTCATTTTTTTACTGCTTTTATCCATCCGTTTAGAGGGAAAGGGAGTGGAGGACACGGCTGATTACTGAATAGACTGGTAATAACAGAATAAATAGGTACAATGTTTTATCCAAAATATAAAGCCACACGGATAATACAGCTGTGAGCCGCCACAGAAAAGCAATAAATGGAAGCAATATATGGAACCAGGATTAAGGAAACTTACAAAGAAAACCGAAACGAGGGAGAGGGATTTGTAGGAGGGGAGAAAAAAAGAAAAGGAAAAGGTGAAATTATATTGGTAATACGAAACTACTTGAATATGGGGACGAAGGTGGAGACGAAGATTGAAATAATGATGGAGACAAAGATGGAGATGAAGATGAAGATGGAGACGAGGGTGGCGATGAAGATGGAGATGAGGATGAAGACGAGGATGGAGATGAAGATAGAGATGAAGGTAGAGATGAAGGTAGAGATGAAGATGGAGATGAAGATAGAGGAGAGACTGGAGATTAGGATGCAGAGGAAGATGGACACGAAGATAGAGTCGAAGACTCCATCTTCGTGTTGGGGCAAGGATATGCTATCCCCTCATGTATATACTCTTCCTGTGTCCCTGCTCTCTTCTTTCTTTCTTTCTTTATCTCTCCTCTCTCTCTCTCTCTCTCTCTCTCTCTCTCCTCTTCTCTCTCTCTCTCTCTCTCTCTCTCTCCTCTCTCTCTCTCTCTCCTCTCTCTCTCTCTCTCTCTCCCTCTCTCCCTCTCTCCCTCCCTACCTCTTTCTCTCTCTCCCTTCCCCCCTCTCTCCCCTCCCTCCCCCCTCCCGCCTCCCTTCCTCCCTCCCTCCCGTTGTCCCCTCTCCCCCTCTCTCTCCCTCTCTCTCACTCTCCCTCCTTCTCCCTCCCTCTCCCTCTCTCTCCCTCTCTCCCTCCCTACCTCTTTCTCTCTCTCCCCTCCCCCCCTCTCTCCCCTCCCTCCCCCCTCCCGCCTCCCTTCCTCCCTCCCTCCCGTTCTCCCCTCTCCCCTCCCCCTCTCTCTCCCTCTCTCTCCCTCTCTCTCACTCTCCCTCTCTCTCCCTCCCTCTCCCTCCCTCTCCCTCTCTCTCCCTCTCTCTCCCTCTCTCTCCCTCCTCCCTCTCTCTCCCTCCTCCCTCCCCCCTCTCTCTCTCTCTCTCTCTCTCTCTCTCTCTCTCTCTCTCTCTCTCTCTCTCTCTCTCTCTCTCTCTCTCTCTCTCTCTCTCTCTCTCCCCCTCCCTCCCTCCCTCTCCTCCTCCCCCCCTCTCTCTCTCTCTTTCTCTCTCTCTCTCTCTCTCTCTCTCTCTCTCTCTCTCTCTCTCTCTCTCTCTCTCTCTCTCTCTCTCTCTCTCTCCCTCTCCCTCCCCCTCCCCCTCCCTCTCCCTCCCTCCCTCTCCCTCCCTCCTTTTCCCTCTCCCTCTCCCTCTCCCTCTCCCTCCCTCCCACCCCCCTTCCCCCACGTGCGTGCGTGCGCCTCCCCCTCGAGTCCGCGGTGTCTTCCGGCCGCCTCGCCGACGTACCTCCGGCGGCGCTGCCCAACGTACGGCCGATAAAGGCCTTTGATCACCGGTGAGAAATCGATGCGTCACTTTGTTTCAGGTCGCGTTAAAGTAGCAAAGTTCATGCTGTTGACGCGGCCGCGGCGGGGGAGGGCTTCGTCCCCCTGTGGCTGCGTGACGAAGGTGGCCGAGGCTGTGTGTGGGGACGATGGTGAGCTCAGAGGGTCGCGCTCCGTGCAGAAGGCCGAGAGAAGCCTCGTGTATAATTTGCGAGCTGGAGGCTGGGTTGGAGGAGGAGCAGGGCGCACAAGAGTCGTTCGAGTGTGTGCGTGAGGCTGGAGAGCAGCAGGAGGGGCGGCGTGTGGGCGGCGCGGGAGATGAGACCAGAGAGGACCGCGAGGGCGCGAGCACTATGCTTTAATCACTGAGTGGGAAGAGATTACTTTGTGAAGTACATTAAAGGTGCAGTGCGTGACGCTGGTCTTAGGTGCTGCCTGAAGTAGCGGCCTGAAAAGGCACGGCATCGTAGCCGTGAACGGATGGAGTCACGAGGCTTTCGATCAGCCGGTTTCACTCGTTTTGGGCGCGTCGGTTTGGGCGTGGTCCAGGTGCAGGAGGCTGACGGAGGCCGTTGCGGGAGGGGGGGGGGGCGGTCGGCCCTAGTTCTTCGATTTCTTACGTTTATATGTTGGTCAAGGCGGGAGGGGAGGAACCGCCCGTGAGAGTTTGGGCTTCGTGCGAAAGCTATTAATTGCCGAGCCAAGTGTTTCACTTCTTATTCTGAGACATTTTTTATTGTGGTAAATATAACATCGTGTGAAGTTGCGGTTCGGCGGGGCGTTCATACGCACGGGCGCCCTTTTCGATGAGTTCGAGGATACCTGTTAGGCAGATGCCCCAGTTCCAAGGCGAGGCAGTCACAGGGGCGTGAGCGGGCAGACGCGCAAAGAGGCACTGTGTGTCCCCCGGGATCGATGAGCTCTCCGAAGCTCCCGGGCGGTCTTTTACATCCGAAATCTCGTCATAATAAGTTATGCGATCAGCTAAGCAAATTTAGCACGAGGCTTGGCATGGCTGCATACTTCGCGGGACACTGGCGTTGCATTCTGCACGGATTCGTCTCGCAGCTCCGGCGGCGGAGGGAGACGGCGGGTGACTTATGCGAATTTACGTGATTGATGCGACTACCGTGTTGCAACACTGATTGGCACAAACACAACTGTGTCGTAGCAATTGTGTTTCTGGGAGATTTCAGAATCGGGAACACAGACCTTGGGAGGATCCGAACCTTACCACTCGACTCGCACGATTTCCTAGCCCCGACCCCCCGCGACTGCGGAGGGAAGCCTACTCTGGCATGAGCTCGTCGCCATGAGAGGCGAGGGGAGGCCCTGAGGCGAACCAGCGGAGGGACCAGGGGAGGATTAGGGGCTTGGCTAGGGAGAGGCCAGGGGAGGAACAAGAGAGGGCTAGAAGCTTCGGGAAGAGGTCTGGCTAGCATGTCGTAATGGAAAAATCCTCTTTGGTGGCGTCCTCGGATGGCCGTGCCCTTGCGTGCGATGGGGAAGGTGGCGATT